AAAAAAAAAAGAGGCCATGAGGTGGCTGACGCCTGTAATCCCAGCACTTTGGGAGGCCAAGGTGGGAGAATCACAAGGTCAAGAGATCGAGACTATCCTGGCCAACACGGTGAAACCTTGTCTCTACTAAAATCCAAAAATTAGCTGGGCGTGGTGGCGCACACCTGTAGTCCCAGCTACTCGGGAGGCTGAGGCAGGAGAAGTGCTTGAACCTGGGATGTGGAGGTTGCAATGATCTGAGATTGCACCACTGCACTCCAGCCTGGCCTCTGTCTAAAAAAAAAAACAAAAAAAACAATGTTTTTTCCTACCCTGTGGCTTATCTATTCAATTTTTTAATTTTTTTTTTTTTCTCACCACTCTTTTTTTTTTTTTTTTTATTTTAAGTTCTGGGATACATGTGCAAAATGTGCAGGTTTCCTTTATTATTATTATTATTATACTTTAAGTTCTGGGGTACCTGTGCGGATCATGCAGGTTTGTTACATAGGTATACACGTGCCATGGTGGTAGTTTGCTTCATCCATTGCCCTGTTATCTACGTTAGGTATTTCTCCTAATGCTATCCCTCCCCAATCCTCCCAACCCCTACTATTCCTCCTCTAGCCCCCGACCCTCCAGGCCCTGGTATGTGATGTTCCCTTCTCTGTGTCTGTGTGTTCTCATTATTCAACACCAACTTATGAGTGAGAACATGCAGTGTTTGGTTTTCTGTTCCTGTGTCAGTTTGCCGAGAATGACGGTTTCCAGTGTCATCCATGTCCCTGCAGAGGACATGAACTCATCATTTTATATGGCTGCATAGTATTTCATTGTGTATATATTCCACATTTTCTTCATCCATTCTATCATTGATGAGCATTTGGGTTGGTGCCAAGTCTTTGCTATTGTGACCTGTGCCGCAATAAATATACGTGTCCATGTGTCTTTATAATAGAATGATTTATAATCCTTTGGGTATATACCCAGTAATGGGATTGCTAGGTCAAATGGTATTTCTAGTTCCAGATCCTTGAGGAATTGCCACACTATCTTCCACAATGGCTGAATTAATTTACACTCCCACCAATTGTGTAAAAGCATTCCTATTTCTCCACATCCTTTCCAGCATCTGTTGTCTCTTGATTTTTTAATGATCGCCATTCTAATTGGTGTGAGGTGGTATCTCAATGTGGTTTTGATTTGCATTTCTCTAATGACCAGTAATGATGAGCTTTTTTGTTTTATGTGTGTTGGCTGCATAAATGTCTTCTTTTGAAAAGTGTCTGTTCATATCCTTTGCCTACTTTTTATGGGGATGTTTGTTTTTTACTTGTAAATTTGTTTAAGTTCTCTGTAGATTCTGGATATTAACCTTTTGTCAGAAGGGTAGATTGTAAAAATGTTTTCCCATTTATTTGGTTGCTGGTTCACTGTATTAATAGTTTTTGCTGTGTAGAAGCTCTTAAGTTTGATTAGATCCCATTTGTCTACTTTGGCTTTTGTTGCACAGGTATACATGTGCCATGGTGATTTGCTGCAGCCATCAACCCATCATTAAGGTTTTAAGCCCTGCATGCATTAAGTGTTTGTTCTAATGTTCTCCCTCCTCTTGCACTCCATACCCTGACAGGCTCCTATGTGTGATGTTCCCCTCCCTGTGTTCATGTGTTCTCATTTTTCAACTCTCACTTATGACTAGGAACATGTAGTATTTGGTTTTCTGTTCCTGTGTCAGTTTGCTGAGAATGATCGTTTCCAGCTTCATCCATGTTCCTGCAAAGAACATAAACTCATCCGTTTTTATGGCTACATTGTATTCCAGGGTGAATATGTGCCACATTTTCTTTAACCAATGTATCATTGCTGGGCGTTTGGGTTGATTCCAAGTCTTTGCTGTTGTAAATAGCACTGCAATAAACATATGCATGTGTCTCTATAGTAGAATGAATTACAGTCCTTTGGATATATATCCAGTAAAAGGATTGCTTGGTCAAATGGTGTATCTGGTTCTAGATCCTTGAGGAGTTGCTATACTGTCTTCTACAATGGTTGAACTAATTTATACTGCTACCAACAGTGTAAAAGCATTTCTGTTTATTCACAGCCTCACCAACATCTGTTGTTTCCTGACTTTTTAATAATTGCTATTCTAACTGAGGTGAGATTGTACTGTCATTAGATAACAGGAAATCTACAGAATGGGGAAAAAATTTTGCAATCTACTCACCTCTCAAAGGTCTAATATCTAGAATCTACAAATATCATAAAAAAACAAATTTACAAGAAAGAAAATCACCATCAAAAATGGGCTAAAAATATAAGTAGACACATCTCAAAAGAAGACATTTATGAAGCCAAAAAATGTATGGAAAAAAAAGCTCATCCTCACTGATCATTAGGGATTTTTCTAGTGCTCTTTGCTTCCTAATTAAGTAATCTCTTCCTAGCCTAGATTCACAAAAGGTTTTTTTTTTTAATTTTTGCTTCTTAGAATCTTTATAATTTTAGTTATCACATATGCTTCTATGATCAATCTCAAAATAAGGTTTGCTTACGTGTGAAAGAGGTCATAAGGTTTATTTTTATTTTTTGGTTTGCTTTTGTTTTGTTCGATTCTTTTTCATATAGATATTCAATTGTTTCAGTACCATTTATTGAAAACACTACTTTTCAAATTTGGTTGCTTTGGCACTTTTCTGGAAAATAAATTGACCATCTATGTGTAGTCTTTTTGGGCATTATACTGTCTCATATCTCTTTACCTATATGTCCAATAATCCGTACTCCAGTACAAAATTGAATAAATGTGGTAAGAGCAGACATCTTTCATTTTATCCTGAACTTGGGGAAAACACTGAGTTTTATACCATTAACTGTGGCATATTTCTTACTGTGGGACTATGGCAAGAAAAAAAAGAAAATCTCTCATATAGAAAGCAATTTTACTTAGACTTACTTATCATTGTTCTTCATGTTCCCAACATAGTTTTTGGTGCATTCTATGCTCCTTATATTTTTAATTTACTCAGTGGATTGTAGCACAAATTATTACCTCAGTTGTTCAGTTTGGTAATGTTCCCTTTAGTAGCTAACAAATACTTTCATCACTGCTCTTTGTTCACTTGTTCTTATTCATGTTTCAAGATGATTAAACAAATTGTATGGACCCTCAGAATTTTTTATTTAGACAAAGTGTTTGTGTATATGTTTTATAAATACTATTTTTAAATTTTTATATGCTAACAGCTTTTATTTACTAATCCTGAAATAACTCTTTAACATAGAAAATGTAGATTGAAGAATAATTGAGTCCCTTTATTCCTGATTGGGAAAGTGGTAATAGAAAGTTATAGGTACCAGACAATGCTTAACAAACTTGAATATCAAATTTTATTTTAGAAGTTGATTTAAAACATCAATTTTAAAATATTGATTGTAAACTTTTACAATTTTGATAGTCTGTAGACTTAATGTTAAAAATCATCTTTAATGATCTAATCTAGGATGAGAGAAAAAGCCTTTAGAAATTCTGTAAACCAGTGTGATTCTACCTAATAAGTGATTTATTTTATTATATATGTAAAATGATATTTTCAATGTACTTTTGACTTTGACATTTCTTTAGGAAGAGATGTAGCCTTTAAAATGAGTGTTAGATTCGTTATCTGAAATGGTTTGTGGTGTGTGTGTGTGTGTGTGTGTGTGTGTGTGTGTGTGTGTATGTTTATGGCATGACTTTCTTCTCCATGGTAAAGTTTCAAAAACCTGTAACCCATCAATTATTCTTGGTGCAAATAATCACTTTACTGTACCTTAAAAAATACATTCTATTGATTTTGTTTCCTAGTTCAATTTTGTGGGGAAATTGCTTGGACCAAGAGGAAACTCCTTGAAGAGGCTACAGGAAGAAACAGGTGCTAAAATGTCTATCCTGGGCAAAGGATCAATGAGAGATAAAGCAAAGGTACTGAACTTTGAATTTGACATTTAACACATACAGGAGGTTACCTATAACACTGATGGCTAAATTTACAAGCACACCTGAACAGCTACTTCGCCACTTCCTATGACTTTCATCTCCTGGAGTCACTCTGTGTCACTTTCTGCTAGCTCCTCTGTCTTCCTCAAAAGCAATTATTGCCTCCCCTTCTTTTTCTTTTCAGGATGTATATTCTGGTATTTTCATTTTCTTTAGTCCTTTGTGTAGGTTGCTTTCGAATCTTTTCACTTTTTCTGTGTCCTCTGCAGGATGTTTCTATAAGTCTGTGTTCATTTTCTTTAATTCCCTCGCTGTTTCCTTTTTCTTTCTTCAGTCATATCACCTAATCTCATCCATTGTATCATTCTCTCATTTTCTCTCTGCTCTATTCCACTTTGATCCTCTTACCTGAAGCAATTTCAAATGCTTATCTGCAAATCTAAGAGAATCCTGCTTATTTCTTGAAATGTTTCAATGTTATTAAACAACTCACCTGATCCCCAAAAGAACAATAAGCTAAAAATATATCAAATTTGATGTTTGAAACAATTTATTTCACATATGAACCACATTATTTCTTATCTAATAAAGTGTTAGCAGTTTTCTCTCTGTTAGAATTCAGTGTTTGGGAGAAATAACAATTTGTAGAGATTTATTCAAAAAGGATCTTTGAAAATTCACTGTGAAAGGCTGGATATGTTTGGTAGTATCATTGACCAGGCCATACTGTTAAAATTTGGTAATGTTATTATGGAGAATAAAATGTTTAAATATTTATTTCTGACCATGAGTATCCTTAGAAAATTAGGAGTTCTGTATTTGTGTTAATGAAACATATTAATTGAGGAAATTTATAGTGTGAAATGTCACTAAACTGGTGAATATATCATACATAAAATATCTTTACTGTGATGAGTCTATATTTGGAATTTGAGCAAGCACCTCTCTTTGGATGCTTTCTTAGAATGGTTCAATAGTCAACTGTAGAAAGTCACAGAAGGAATGATTTTTACTAGCCTTTTCTTTGGGATGACTTTTGATCATTCTATACTGTGTATGACTTCAGCAACAACTACATTCTTGCCAATCTTCCTGCCTCTAGGTTCTCTGACTACATTGAAAATACATATTACAAGTATTTAAGAGATGAGAACACCAGCATCTAGACCCTGCTGGTGTTTTTGTCCCTGCCATAAATTTGGATTTTCTTTATGTAGGAGGAGAAAATGACACATAATAATCTATGCCTGTACTTTCATGTATTCTTTAATATTATTTTCATTATGAATTTCCCAAATGCTTCATCTGTTATAAACTACATACACTGTGTGTTTCTATGCTTTCACACATTCTTTAAGATTTAAGTCTGGTATTGTCTGCCCAGGAGGGCTTCCCTGAACTCCTATAATAGACTACGTCCTCTTTTGTCACTTAACATACTTTACTGTATCTGTTTATCTCCAGGATGGGGAACTGTTCTAGTTAGCTTTGCATATGTAGAATCTTCCTGTAGTATTTCTATATCTTTTGAAACAGATGGATGCATATTTTTTATTCTCAAATATTTTGACATTTTTCCTGTTCATGAAGTTTTAAACTAGATTTCTTTTTCCCAGTGGGCATGTTAGGTAGCAGCAAAAGTATTAGAAAACCCAATAGGAAACAAATTTGCTTCTATTAAGTTTCCATTAGGTTTAATTTACTCCTATTACCTGTGACTTACAATTCAGTTTCTTATTACTCTTTTCGTGATCCATCATGTTTGGCTATGATTTGAGTGTTTTCACTTTTTACCAAGTTAAACAAAATAAACATATTTAATAATACTGCATTGAATTACAAAATATTTTTTAGAATCTAGATAAGGCCTTTTCTTTCATTCATTTTATTTTTGGCTCTACTTGCTGGCTTCTAAATGATAAGGTCTTAACTTTCTAGAGTATTGGACACCTAGCTGAAATAAAACCACAGGCATGGATATGAAAAATTTACCGTAGGCCAGGTGCAGTGGTTCACACCTGCAGACCCAGCACTTTGGGAGGCTGAGGCGGGTGAATCATGAGGTCAAGAGATCAAGACCATCCTGGCCAATGTGGTGGAACCCCGTCTCTACTAAAAACACAAAAAATTAGCCGGATATGGTGGCAAATGCCTTTAATCCCAGCTACTTGGGAGGCTGAGACAGGAGAATCATTTGAACCCAGAAGGCGGAGGATGCCTTGAGCCGAGAATGCACCATTGCACTCCAGCCTGGGCAACAAGAGCAAAAATCCATCTCAAAAAAAAAAAAAAAAAAAAAAAAAAAAAAAAAAAAAAAAAAAAAAAGAAAAAAAAAAGGAAAATTTACCTTAGTGAACACTTTATTAAAATATGAAATAAACCCTTGGTAAACTATTGATTGTGATACTGTTATTTTGCCTCTCTGCATCATGACATGAACAGGCGAAAAGATTTTACATAATTTTTTTTTCTAATTATTAAATAAATCAAATGTCATTGTGCAATAAAAGTGTGTATGTGGGCCAGGCGCAGTGGCTCCCGCCTGTAATCCCAGCACTTTGGGAGGCCAAGGCAGGCAGATCATGAGTTCAGAAGTTCAAGACCAGACTGCACAAGATGGTGAAACCCCGTCTCTACCAAAAACACATGAAAAGTCAGCCGGGCATGGTGGCACGTGCCTGTAGTCCCAGCTCTTGGAGGCTGAGACAGAAGAATCACCTGAACCCAGGAAGTGGAGGTTGCAGTGAGCCAAGATTGTACCATTGCACTCCAGCCTGGGCAACAGAGTGAGACTCCATCTAAAAAAAAAAAAAAGTGTGTACGTGTGGTTGTGTGCACACATGCACACAACCATACAAACAGTCATATATTCATGCATTAATTATTTATTGAGCACCTTTTGTGCAATTCACAGTTCTAGTTAATCTTAATGAATATGACAGGTGTTCCTCTCTTAGAGTTTACCTTCCAATGGGAAAGACAGATGATAAGTACTTGAATAAATTTTATACAATTAGGCATTGATACTTTTATGGATTTAAATAAAACAGATGCAGGGAAAAGAGGTTAGTGGTGATGGCAGCAAATTTTTGTACAATGATCAGGTAGAACACTGGTTGATGAGAATGATCCAAACAGAAAGATCAGAAAGGAGAGAGAATCTGTGCTTTATGTATAACCATATGTATAACTAATATGACAACTACAGCCATATATTCTTATTCCCCTTTGGCTGCCATCTGATTTCTTAGCATATCTTTATAGTAAAACTCGTGAAAAGTTATTTGCAATCACTGGCTCACCTTCCTTCTTTATAGTTCTCCTCCGCAGTCTCTGTGACTGGATCCTCTTCTTCCAGAGTTCCAAGCCCAGACTTAGTCATCAGATTTCCTTTTTTCTTTCATATCATAGCACCAATGTGCCCTGAACCTCAAATTTATGCCTAACCTCCAATCTCCCCATTAACATTTTTTTAAATGTTCTAGATTCTAATTTTATATATTGACCTACTCAGCATGTCAATGTGGATGTAACAGGCATTGAAATGTAGTATGTCTAAGGACACACACATACATACACACAAATATGTATATGCATGCATGTTGACAAAGACTCCTTGACCAAACTTTAGTAAGGCCTCTCAGAACCCTCTTCTCAACAGTGCCTGACGTTACCAAGATTAGCCATGTTTAAAATTTAGATAAGCAAGTATTAAGAAGTTCAACATGCAACTGCCAATCTTTTTTTACATTTTATCCAATAGAAAAACTAAAAAACGAAATAACTAACTAAATAACTAAATCCATATGAGGGGCTCCTTGTGCGCTTTACAAAGCCTGGGCCAGCACTCTCTTCTATGGTTTCATAGGCAGACCACTTTACAGAATATAGTGTTTAATAAGCATGTTTTCTTCACCTTTATATGACATGATGATGCAGGTTGCTTTTCTATGTTGGGTATGCTGCTAAGGTAGCACACAATGTATGTTCATTCATTCGTTATTTCTTTCTTTTCTTTCTTCTCTTTTCCTTACTTTATTTTCTTCCTTTCCTTTCCCTCCCGGCCTCCCTCCCTCCTTCCCTTCCTTCCTTCTCTCTTTCTTTCTTTTTTCTTTTCCTTTCTCTCTTTCTTTTCTTTCTCTTCTTTTTTTTCGTTCTTTCTTTCTTGACAGTGTCTCGCTGTGTTTCCCAGGCTGGAGAGCAGTGGCACTATTGTGGTGCGATCACTGCTCATTGCAGCTTTTACCCCTCCGCCAGACTCAGGCCTCAGGCAACCTTTCACGTTAGCCTCTCAGGTAGATAGGACTGCAGGAGCACGCTACCACATCTGGCTAATTACAAAATTTTTTTATAGAGATGGGGTCTCATTTTATTGCCCAAGCTGGTCCTGAACTCCTGGATTCAAGTGACCCTCCTGCCTCAGCCTCCCAAAGTGCTGGCATTATAGATATGAGGCACCTTGCCTGGTCCAATACAAAGTATGTCTTAAACTTGATCTTTACTTCATTATAAAAGAAGATATTTGATTGTGTAAGTCAGGGAAAAAAACCCAAAATATTTATTCTGTAGCTACTGTTAGTTCAAAAGTAGATTCAGTATTTTGCTGTATAAAAAGTATTAGACATGACTCAAGCCCTCACAAAGCTGGATATTTAATTAAATATATTACCAGTGTAACATTTTTTTAAATTATATTTTAAGTTCTGGGGTACATGTGCAGATCAGGCAGGATTGTTACATAGGTTTACACATGCCATGGTGGTTTGCTGCATCCATCCCCCTGTCATCTACATTAGCTATTTCTCCTAATGTTACCCAGTCCCCTCACCCCCCAACAGGCCCCAGTGTGTGATGTTCCCCTGCCTGTGTCCATATGTTCTCATTGTTCAACACCCACTTATGAGTGAGAACATGAGATGTTTATTAAAGTTAAGAAAATAGTCATTTGGATTAATAGGTTGATAGAATGACAAACTCATTTTGTT